GGCGTCTGCACTTTAGTGAAGTGACCAACGACGAGCTCCGGAGGCTAGACCTCGATTTCATTGAGGAGAAGAGGGACGACTCCCAGCTGAGGCTAGGCACCTACCAAAGGAAGATGACAAGGTACTTCAACTCCAAAGTCAAGAAGAGGTCTTTCCGAATCAACGATCTTGTGCTCAGGAAGGTCTTTCCATCTTCAAAAGAACTCGGTTCCGGCTCCCTGGGACCGAACTGGGAAGGTCCATACAAGATCAGAGAAGAAATCCGACCTGGAACCTACTGGATTGAAGACATGGACGGCAAGGCACAACCCCGTCCATGGAACATTGAACACCTCAGAATCTTTTATCAGTGAATTGTATCATGCTGGATGACTTTTCCAGCCTTTGTAATATTTCCATGGCTCAATAAAATGCGTTGGTTAAATCATCATACTACGTCGTAACCTCGGAGGAGAGGCTCGGGACCCACCACTGGGCCACCTCGCTTGGACTCCGAGGCTCTAGCACATGCCTCCCTTTTGGCCTTGCTGAACGCCAAGGGGAGAAGCCTCAACATGGCTGCACCATCCGCCATGTCTGGGATGCGTCGTAATCTCGGAGGAGAGGCTCGGGACCCACCATTGGGCCACCTCGCTTGGACTCCGAGACTCTAGCACATGCCTCCCTTTTGGCCTTACTGAACGCCAAGGGGAGAAGCCACAACCTTCAAACCGAGGCTCCAACAGTTCATCTCCTTAAGTTATGTTCATTTTCTTAAGTCCGAGGCTCCAACAGTTCATCTCCTTAAGTTATGTTCATTTTCTTAAGTCCGAGGCTCCAACAGTTCATCTCCTTGAGTTATGTTCATTTTCTTAAGTCCGAGGCTCCAACAGTTCATCTCCTCAAGTTATGTTCATTTTCTTAAGTTCGAGGCCCGCACAGTTCATCTCCTTAAGTTATGTTCATTTGCTTAAGTCCGAGGCCCATACAGTTGGCTGATTAAAGTCAGGGTACCAAGTTAAAGTTATTTAGTTCGTGCCCTTACCAACTTCCAGTTCGTTTGTTTAAACGAGGCACAAAGACTTGGATAAAGAACAACAATGAATGAAGATAAACATTATATTAATATTCAAAAGGGATTACAACGGAGGGCCTCTGGCCATTACACAAAGTACTGAAAAGGAAAACCTAATCTAAGCTTGGCTGGATGAAGGAGATGCCTCAGCACTTGGGGGTTCGACAACCTGGGCATCAGTAGTTGTTTCCCCCGCCTCAGCATTCGGGGCTTCGGCATCAGCTGCCTCGTCACCCTGCACCTCCTCAGTTGGGGTTTGAGGAACCTCATCCACAAATTCGGACCTAAGTTGTGCCAGGTCCAAGTTTGGATAAAGCTCCTCTGCCCTCTCCAGTACTTCGGCATAGGCGAAGTTCCTCCAGTACGCGCTGAAGTTTTTATACTCCTCCGTAGTGTGGAAATTGGCGATGTAGGCCTTCACCGCCTCTTCCGCTGCAGTCCGGGCCTCTTCTTTGGCAACCGAGGCGTCGTTCATATACCACTTCGCCTGGCCTTCAAGAAACTGATTGGCATCACGAGCGCCAGCCAAGGCGAGATTCGCCTGCTCCAGAGCCTCAGCAGTCACCTTTTGGTGCTCATTGGAGACCTCCACCTTCTTTGTCAGGGAGGCCACCTCGCACTGTGACTCATATACTTCCCTCTTTAGGGCCTCAATTTGGGTCAGGGCAGACTCGAGCTTCGCCGCTTCTTCGACCCTCTGCGCTTTGGCTTCTTCGGCCTCGGCCTTAGCAGCTTTCACCTCCTCAGCAAGGGAAGCAACCTTTCCCTCCGAGGCGTGAGTCCTTGTTTGGAATTCACTTAATGCCTCCCTGCATTCTAGCGTGAGGCCAAAGGTCCGGGCGCTTTAGCTCACCAGTGCCCTAGTGAGGTCGGTGGCATCACAAGACGAGGCATGAAGCTGCCACCTCTTCGTCCAGAACTTGTAAAAGCTCTCGGTGGCACCCCTTATCTCCTCAGGGAGAGCCTCCACCAAGGCTGGGGCCAGCTCATCCTCCCTCCCAGCTAGGAAGTTTGGAGACTTCCCCTTCTCCCGAACTGGCTTCTCCTTCGCCGACTCCTCTTCGGCAGCTTCAGCAGCTCCCCTTGCAGCCTCTTTTCTGGCCTCTTCAGCCTCCACCTCTCTCACCATCTCCATTTTTATGGCCTTAGAGGCTGCAGCGAGAAGCTTCGGCTCCCCAGTTTGTTCAGCCCTATGGGACACTGTAGTCCCAGACTTGCCAGCTGAGCTGGAGATGTGCACCAGCTTCCTCTTCTTTGTCTCCTCAGAGACCTTTTCTTTGCCACGAGGCTCCTTAGGCTTCTCTGGCCTCTGAGTAGATGCCTCCTCTGAGGCCCTGGGAGTGCAGTCCTTGGACAGGCGCTCAACCCTGCCTCGGACCTCCTTTGCCCCACTAGACCCAGGTTTCAGGGGCCTCGCCTTCGCAGTAGAAGTGGCCTTCAAGATAGAGGCCATGTCTGGAGCTGGGTACTCCCTCTTCTTGAATTTATCTGCACCATAGATTAGCATCAGCACAAGAAACATTCAAGTTAAACATCAAGAGTTGGAGCCCCATACCTCTGGACGCCATCAGCCCGAAGTCCAAGAAGTATCTGCTTCTGTCAATCAGGTGATCGAAGTGCCGAAGCTTCAGAGGCCTCTTGTAAATGTCCTCTATCACCTCGAATTCCTCCCTGCTGAGCTCGAACCTCGTACTACTATCTGCAAAGACGAACCTTCAACAGTTAAGACGAGTAAATACTCTGATTTCAAAACACAAGCAGAGGTCGGGAGACTCACGAGCTTCGTAGTACTGGGTCGGCACTGTGCATGACAGGGCTTTGTCACCCTCCACTACCTGCCATTTACCTCGCACCCAGAACCAGGACTCCTTCCACCCCTTGATAGAGGAAGGAAGTCCCACCACAAAGGGTGCGTGAGCCCCCCAAGGCGTGAGGTAGTACCACCCCCTTGACTCCTTCCCAATTACTCGGGGCTGGAACAGGGTCATGAAGACATGAAGGGGCATGTCCTCCCCCAGTGACACTTCCTTCCACAGGAAGTACGAGCCGACCAGCTGGCTCCACCCATTCGGTAGAACCTGGGTCGGCGACAGCATGAATTTCCTAAGCACCGCCCTAAAGAAGGGGTGCAAAGGAAGACGCATACCTGCTTTTAACAGGTATTCACTCACGGCCACGCATCCGGGCCTCGGATAGCAGGCCCGCTCGTTCGGTTCGGGGACTAACATCTCTATGTTATGAGGCACGCTGTACCTCTCCCTAAGTTCCCCCAACCTCTTCCCCGTCATGTTTGAGGGCACTCTAGAAGCCCCCCACTCCTGGGTATAATCCACGTCCTCCTCGGCCATAGCATACCTATCTACCTCGGACATCCCCCCATGACCTACCCCATGGTCTAAAGACGCTATTGTGACAAGCTCCCTACCCGAAGTGGACTCCATTGTTTGAGGACAAAGAATAACAATGGTTTTTTACGCAAACAATACGTAAAAGAGTTCAACACAGATGGAGACCGGTCGGAATCTAATCGCAGACAAACTCGACGCCGGAAAATGGGAAATTTGAGAGAATTCGAGAATGCAAAGTGTTCAAAATTTCTGGAAAATGGGATTTTCTCGCCTTTTATAAAGGTTCAAGACGAACCCCACTCGTCAGATCAAATCTCAGTCAATCCGAGCCCTCCATTTCAGATCCAATCCGAGGCGTTGAATTCAAACAGTTTTTTAAATCCTATGCCTCTTATCTATGCGTACCTCACACGCGCCTCTCCAGCGCGTCTGCTTCTAGAAACGCCAGCTGCCCTCATAATTGCATTTTTAATTCGTCGGCGCCAACACCTTGGAAGTCGTAACGGTTCAGCTACCTTTCCTCGAAAACAAGCACAAAACATCAAATCATTGGCACAGAGACCAAAGCATAATCATTACCATTGGACCTCGGCTACTTCACAACCATTCAGCATTCAAGCCTCGCAGGTTCGGTTTTCCAACCACCTCGGCTACTTCACAACCATTCAGCATCCAAGCCTCGCAGGTTCGATTTTCCAACCACCTCGGCTCCTTCACATGCCATTCAGCATTCAAGTCTCGCAGGTTCAGTTTTCCAACCACCTCGGCTACTTCACAACCATTCAGCATTCAAGCCTCGCAGGTTCGGTTTTCCAACCACCTCGGCTACTTCACAACCATTCAGCATCCAAGCCTCGCAGGTTCGGTTTTCCAACCACCTCGGCTCCTTCACATGCCATTCAGCATTCAAGCCTCGCAGGTTCGGTTTTCCAACCACCTCGGCTCCTTCAGATGCCATTCAGCGTCCAAGCCTCGCAGGTTCGGTTTTCCAACAACCTCGGCTCCTTCACATGCCATTCAGCATTCAAGCCTCGCAGGTTCGATTTCCCAACCACCTCGGCTCCTTCAGATGCCATTCAGCGTCCAAGCCTCGCAGGTTCGGTTTTCAACCACCTCGGCTGCTTCACACCCATTCAGCATTCAAGCCTCGCAGGTTCGGTTTCCCAACCACCTCGGCTTCTTCATCATTTACCTACAGCAAAACTTCTCTAACTCCAACCATGATATAAATATCTATACTTGGACTTGGGGGACTATTATTTGGGGGTTCAAAAAATTCAAAAATTCTTTCAACTTTTACTCCATTAAAGTCCACGTATTACATTAATGATTATACTTGGACTTGGGGGACTATTGTTGCGTGTTGTCACACCTGTCCGACCCACCTGGACCAGTGGCCCACTCATCCTGATCCACGTGGCATTCCTGCCGAGGTGTTTCACATTGCCGAGGTGGGTTATATCCGAACTGCTTCTAACCGAGGCCCATGGCCCGAGGCGTGGAAGCTTGTGGTTGTAACTGAGGTCCTTGAATGGACGAAGCCCCGAAACTGATGCGCGAGCCTCAACCACAAGGAAACATCCTCCATGGTCACTTCTCCCAAGAGATCGCCTGCACAGATCTTATTTGAATGATTGATGGAATGTTTGTCATAAGCATAAAGGTCAAGTCTTGTCACTAGCATGGAGGCCCTGCACAAGCAATAAATGCGCCGTAAACTAGCAAGTCAAATCCCATGCCTAAGAACAGACGTTTAAACTAAGGAGATGAGGCCACGTGTCACTTCATCCAAGGGCTCCCATTCCATATGTATCACTATAAATACCCCCATTGTATAATGTCAAAGGCTAATGCAAGAATCAATACAAAAGACTATATTTACTCAACTCTCTCAGTTACTTGCAATATATAAATCGAGTTTATACACTTTATACATATATATTTGCGAGCACCGGTTGGTAATTATTTTACAATCGGATCACGAATAACTCGTCGGATTCTGAACGTCACCGTCCCGCATCGTTGGGCTACTCCCACGCCCATTTGAACCGCTTATTGTAGACCGTCCACGTGTCATAGCGTGTTGGACATTCGCCCACGCAAGCGCGGGTGGGACCGGCATCTGTTGGCGCACTTTTTGGGGTCAACACCTACCATCAAGGTTTAAAGTCCCAGCAAGGGAAAAATTTATGGCGTCTTCTATTGCTACAGCTAAGGGGGCACAAAAGAGGCCAACTGTCGTTGAGCTCCCAAGGCAGAACAGTTGAAGCGGGTGAGGACTTCGAGCAAGTCAACTACTTCTGACACATTTCCTCACTCCAAACTCTCCGTCTCTAAAAGGGGCGACAAACTAGCTTCGGAAGTTCTGTCCAAGCTTCCTCTAGAGGTCCAGACTACAACTTCTACATTTTATAAGTACTAGACTGATATGTAGTAGACCTTTGTGGAGACTAATGACTCGGTGAACATGTTTACCACCATTGTGAGTCAGGTTAGGAGAGCCTTTGGGATCACCATAGAGGTTGAAATCCGCTTTAAAAACTTCAAAAGAAAAAAAATAAGGAATTGTTGAATAGGATCTCCTAGGTCAAGGAAGCAGCCTAGAAGGCTAAGGTCGATGCGAAGGCTGTAAGGATACAGCAAGCTGAGGAGTTCGTGAAGCTCTCCTCTACTTTAGCAGAGATTGAAAATCTGAAGAAGGAAGTCCACTTATCTCGAACCGAAGAGGCTTCCCCGACTAAGTGAGTGGAGACATCGAATGCTCAACATAAAATTGCCGTCGAGGCCTTCGAGAGGTCGAATAAAGAAAACAACATTGAAATAGTGGGTTGGGAGAGCTCAACTCCAGGGTTGTCGGCTTCATTGAAAAGGTAGAATGTATTAAAGGAGAACCCCAATCTGCTAGCAATAATGATGTGAAACACTACATAGCCAACTTCC